CAGCAGCAGGAGCAGCAGCAGCAATCGCAGTAGTAGTCGTTGTGGTCGTAGACGTAGTCGTAGTCGTCGTCGTAGTAGTAGAAGTAGTAGCAGTAGTAGTAGTAGTAGTAGTAGTAGTAGTAGTAGGAGGAGCAGTAGGAGTAGTAGTAATAGTAAAAGTAGTAGTAGTAATAATAGTCGTGGGAGTCGTAGTAGTATTAGTAATAATAATGATACTAATAAAGCTGTTGATACCTAGTACTAGTACTGTTACTAGTACTAGTACTAGTTCAAGTACTGGTACTAGTACTAATACTAGTACTAGTAGTCGCACCAGCACCGGTGTACTGCTAGCACTAGTACTAGTACTAGTACTTGTACTAATAGTAGGAGCAGCACCAGCACTAGTTGTTGTTGTTGTTGTTGTTGTCGGCGTCGTCTTCGTCATGGCTCTGGCTAAATGCCCTGGAACTTCTATCTTAGAGTCTTAGACTGATGTCCAGACTAAGACCTTGGGGCTGCGACTCTTGCCTGTGCGACCTGAAGAGTCGTCTTAAGCTGGCAAGGCTGAGGTTCCTCGTTTTTGCTGGATCTGACTTTTTGTTGGTCCTGGGGTCGTCCATTTATGCTACACCCGGCTTGTCTTTCTACCCCTTCCTTCATGCTAAGCACTCTTGTTTTCAGGCGGAAGGAGTTCTTGGCGAAGGGTGCAATCCAAGCTCTCTGGGTGGCCGGCAGGTAAATGCAGGCACCAGGACATGATGAGATGGATCCGAGACACCCAGAGCCTGCGAAGAATTGACGATCTCAAGGGTTGACTCCAGCTTGGATACGGAAGTCAACAGACCGTGCCCCTCAGGCCAGTTGTGAGTTCTACCGCGTGCACTGGACTTGGAAAATTCAAAGTAGGCGAGGAGCAAGTCCTGGCCTTCATGGCCCCGTACAGGGCAGCGGTACCGCTCTGCACCGCACATGCCTCATTCTCTCTACGGGGGAGATTCACCCAGACAAGAGGCTGGAGCCTAGGATCGTCGATGGGCCCAGCGCGGGGTATCTAAGGAGCGGGCTGCAGAGCAGCCGCAAATGCGGGCCAGGTGCTTCTCGAACTGCTTTACCTGCACTAGCGAAAGTAACTTTGTATTAGTGCGTAGAGCTGAGGTCGATGTCGTAGGCGCCGGTCGGGTCTAATGCGTGGGGGGTCAGGCGCGGCATTGCAGCTAAGCCACATACGGCCCTTCAACACCTCAGCACGATTACACGCTGCACCGAGGATTCTACCCTGCACAACCATGAAAAACAACTTCAGATCCGGAGCACGGAAAGAATGCCTGCGTGCCCGTGCCGAAACCAACTTGATCCTGACCCCCGTGCACACATGCGATTTGTGAGTACAGCTGAAACCCACACCCAGCGGACAAAACCATTGAAAGCCGATTCGGAGCTTCTTCAGATTTTGCATCTCGCAAAAGCGGTCTTCGACTACAGTCCCACAGAAGCTGCCAAGCTGCAGGAAATGCCTGTCACGCTTCTTGCTCGACCTTTGAGTTTAGACTCTCCTTGTTCTCAGTAGCAATTCCTGTGGCACTGGGGAGCCGTGGACCTTCTTACGCCCCGCCACACCTGGCAAAGTGCCCCGCAGGAACATGCCCGATGTGGCGCAGGGACAAGATTGTTGCCAAAGTTGGCACGTGCAAGATGCGTCCTCTCCAGAATGCACATCTTTACAATGTCAAGTCTCATCAGTGATGCCCGTGCACTCAAATGCTCGAATGCTTGCCTTCGCCCGAAAGCTCTTGCACATTTCGGACCCACCAGAACGTAAAGACATTGACAGCTTCAAGGAATGAGACATTACAGGTGCCGGGTCCACTTCTTAAAGTTCGTAGATCTTGCACTGGGCATCAAGATGGGAAACGACAACACTGTCTGCCAAGAGAGTCAACGGCCGACCACTAGGCAATATTCACCGGCTGCTGTCAGCAAATCACAAACAAGCTATACACAAGAATATTTCCTTGGAACCCCTTGATTACCAGGCGATTTCGTGAGAGCTCAAAGTGAAAAGCAAGAGGATTGCCAATCAGATCGTCCAATGTAAACCCGGCTCTATGATCTGGCAAACTGGGAAATCCTGAACTCCTAACTTGACGACAAGCCTCTTGAAACTTAAATGCTCTGTCTCTCCTACTTTCTGTTGTGGGGCACGGAGTTGTAGCCCTTGCACAACGTCGCACACCAGGCGCGTGCGACAGGAAATCTTGCGAAACGACAGAAAGAAGCATCTGCAGCAATCTCCGTGCGACAAAACTGTCCTTGCTCATACTTGAGATGATCGCTGCAGTAAGACTTCTCAAGATTCGGCAGTATTAGGATCTCGGGGTCTGTACAGTGTGGATGCGGACGATTGTAGAAGTCGTCTACCTGAGATGGCACGTCCGGACGGGGTGTTTGTCTGCCGCCTTGGCCTTTTCGGGCGGAACAAAGAATCTGCTGTGATTCTATCATATACCATGACCTATAATAACATAGGCTTATTTACTATAACATACTACCACATACAATAAGAATCTGCCGTGTCGCAGCCAAGACGATGATCCGAAGCCTTTCAAGTCAGCTCAAGCTCCAAACTGCAAAATCCATTAGAGCACGAGCAACCCAAGGGCACAGCGGCTGAGTGAGCTGTTGTTTTGCCGGGCAGGAGGGATCGCAGTGTGCCTCTTAACGCCGTTCATTCTATGACCTTGCATGCCACTCTACTTTCAACGTTGACGGTACAGCTTTCGGAGGTGGCTTCCGTAGAGCCCACCCCAACAACGTGCGCCGTAGTCACATTCCTGTCGGGGTTGCCGCGCTTCCTGCGGGCTCCGTCCCGACATGGTCCGTCATGAGGGTCCACCCCAGTATCTCAACTTGCCCGGATGCTTTTCTACAGGGTCCGAATCCCAAAGCCACTGGTCTTATGGGTAACCACATTCTGTTGCGGGGGATCCATCCTGGATGTCTGAATTAACACATCTGTTGCCGTCACCCACCACGAATGTTTGAGTAATGAAAACCATGTATCTTGCCGGATGTGCCAGTTGCATCCTTTGCTCCAGACATCTCAAGACGACATACAACTGCTGCGCCCAAGTCACACAGCCTCGTGGCACATCACTCCTCCTGTCGGGCAGCATGCTGCATGTCGACCTAACCTCCGAGGACTTGCTGCTGCTTGCGAGCCACTCTGGCATTCGGTGAACCCAGTCCTGCAGCCACCTCTCCGCCAAGGCCTCTCAGCAAGACACACCAACTTCCCAGCACCCTTCAGGGACTACGGACTACGGGAAGCTCACCGTTCTGTGACTTTTTGTTTCGCGCCTCCCTGGCCGAGGGGCGGCTTCTCGGATCGACGGTCAGGAGGGCCTGTGCAACGTGGCACGGGGCTCGCTCTTTGTCCGTGGACAGCACGACTGCCTCCACGAAGCGGCGGGCGGAGGGTGAAACGGAGCTTGGCCTGAGAACCGTGAGAAGCTTGGAGGCCAAACAAGGCAGGGAAGTGCTGATGGAAGCTCCGTCCCTCTAGGACTCACACAGTTGTTGCACAAAGCCAACCCGAAGATGCCTTGAGTCAAGCAATCTTGCGAGATGCATACACCGCCAGGTCACGACTGTGTGCTCTAGTCTTGAGAGTCCTCGACTCTCAAGGATGTTATCAAGTTATTGTCAAGTTCCCGTCAGGTTCCCGTCCACAACACGTTCCGGAGCCAAGACTCCCTGCCTTCGCGGCGGACGGCCACTGAGGAGCGCATGCACAGTGCAGCCAAGGGAGAACACGTCGCCTGACATTGGGAGTGAAGCAGCTAGAAATCCTGGGCACTGCAAGAAAATTGGAAACGACTGTGGCTCTTCAAGCTGCTCTGGCCAGCCAAGAGACACTTCTTTCCATAGGGCCGCTCAGAGAGCACCTTTGCATCACAAGTGTGTGTGTGTGTGATACACGCCAAAGAGACCTCCATCCTGACATTTCAATGACTTGACTCGGTCTGCGACCTCCGGAGCCACGTAACCTCGAGTTCCGAGCTCCCCGGTCAACGTCTCCTCAGACGCCCCAGAGACTCTCGGCTGTATCTTTGTAGACATGCGCGCCACAACACAGCCTCGTCGCCACTGACCAGCGCGGCATGCGAGAAATCGATAAGCTTCGGATCCTGCAGTCTGAATGAAACACGGTGTCGAGAGCACAAACATTCCAGCAACCTGCCTCCAACACGAAGACATAAAACAAATCCGGGAGAAGCCGCTTGGAAAAACACACAGCTTTGGTTCTGCTGAGAGAAAGGGAAATCTTTAGGGATGATTAAACGGCTTTGTTGGGAAACTTGCAGCTTTCTATCTGCAAACTGCACCAAACATCAACATTGCATGTCACATCGCACGGTAGACTGTCCTCCTCCCCCTTGCTGAAAAGCACGTTTCCAGGCTTGAGATCCCGATGCACGACGCCTGTCAAAAAACCCGTCTCACGTCATCGCACGACCGAACAAATTTCCAGCCTTGGTCATGCAGGCTGGCCAGTCCCTGGCAGACACTCCTGGCTGCATGCTTTCCTACGCCATCGTACAGCTTATAATATTACTGGCTAGGGGTTTGATCGATTACAAATAGTCGCCGGGACCCAGTGATTCGGTGTAAGAACAATACACACCGAAAAGAATCCCTGTTCGTCACAACATGGAAAAACATGAGATGCTGCCTCTGGCTGTCACACAGACGGTGAGTTGGCTGTGGCCAAAACTCTGTGTGAAGGCCTTGCATAATGCACCGCTTTTCTATCCTGCTTGTTGTCCCGTGCCAATCCCCGCGATGCACTGTCATCAGCTGCAAGTTGAAGCGAAGCTCCAACTAGGGCTGCGGGGGCTAAAACCAGGCCAGGGCAACGAAACTAGGAGACAAGGCATACGAGATCTAGCTGCACGGATGGCCTTTGGAAAGAAATCACGGCACCCCTCTGTGTTTCATAGCTGCTTTCCCCACGGACTAGACACGTTGCAACAAATATTCTCGCGTGCAACTTCAACGGCATGTGGTGTCCATTTCTGGTTGCAGAGCTTGCCGACGTCTTGCTGGGGAGGGACGCATGCACCGCATGCGCGAGTCCTGAACTTCCTCAACCCCGCGGGACGAACATGGTATTGGCACTGGTGAGATCTTGCGAGTAGTTAACCTTGCGGAGTGTTCCTGGAATCCGGATCCTGAAGAATGCGAGTTGACCCGAAAAATCGCGAGGACACACATGTTGGCAGGCAATGTTGCCCAGCCTGATGATGCTCCGCGCTGTCGCCTCTTCCATACCATCTGCCTGCAGGCAGTCCTCCAAAGAACCTCCTCGGTGCATCAAATGATGGCCAGCAGGCTGCTACAATGAGCTGTCGTCACCGACAACACGATCTGTCGAGGACATGTCTACATGCCAGTCCTGCCAGAAGTTCTGTGACAAAGTAGTGCACCTGCTCATCCTGCAGGGAAACATCCGGGATGACAGAGAGCCAGCAGTTTACATGTTTCACTCACCGACCTCGCTGCCGAGACCCTCGAATCGACCTGAAGTTGGGAAGCAATAGCGGGCCACAACAAGCATGTGCTTGATCTTGGCTGCCGGGCCAACCAGCTCCACAACATTGGGGTGTGGCGGGCCTGGAAACCCAAACTCTGTGAAGTCTTGACAAGTCATGCGGCTGGAGGTATTGGAGACGGTCACGACTACTACGGCCCTTCAACTCCGAAACGGACACGTCTAGTGGGCCGATCACTTGGGCCTTCCATCAAGTTCCTCTCCATACTCTTCTTCATGATATCCTCTGTTGACGTCTCAAGGTTGCAACTTCGAACACCAGCCGTGTCGGACTTCAAGGGCGAACACCCGGACAAACGAGTTGACCTGCAGTGTACTCGTAGTCTCTGCCCCAGCTGGGCCAATGCTTCTGCACATCCAACCACAAACAACTTGACACAAGCCTTCCTGAAGACAAAATCCGGCTCCTCGCTCTCAGAAGCTAACAAGCAATGAGTCCAAAACACGTGTGTGTGTGTGTGCATGAAAAAATACACACAAAAAATCTACACCTGAAACAATGCAAACATGTACCGTAACATAGGTATACATACTAGAACTCTCCGTGGATCATCGTCTTCACGAAACAATAGAGTGCATTGTATGGTGCATTTTACATATAGACCTGTATGCTCGGGACTAATCTAATGGCTGAAATGTAAATGCACCACTGCACAAACACGTTATCAATTCGATGTTGGGGACATCCTCTGATACGCCATGCACACGACTGCTGAGGGAATCCAGGCCAGTTGATGAACATGTGCCAATATGCCAATGCGCACGTAAACAACCTGCCATCTCAAAAATGTTCTTGCACAAGCCATGCACGAAAAGAAGACTCAAAAATATAATCCCAACCTCAACCCGTAATCCCGAAACCTTGAACCCACGGCCCTGAGCCTTGACCTTCGGCCCTGCCTAGACTCTGACCCCGAAATTAAATACCTTTCTGGCTAGTTAACTGCTTAGGGGTCTGCACCGACATACTGCTTCTTTTCGGATTCATTCCTTCATATAGTCCTACTATGTTTCATTTATGTGATATTATGTGCTAATACAATAAGCCTAAGGAGCATAGATGTCCCAGAAGCTGCTTGCCTTCGAGCAGGTGATCGAAGGCTGTGCTCTCGTTGCAAATACCTGTGGCCAAGCATTCAGCAAACACATCACAAGTCCTGAGCCTTAGATGTGCCACTAGCAGCACTGCCAGTACTCCTTCTCCTCCTCGTTGCTCCGAAACCGTCTACTCTTGCTCCAGCCATTACTTCTACTCCTGCAAACTACTACGCTGCGTTCGGCTGTACGTAGCACTGGCACTGCCGCTGCTGCTGCTGCTGCTGCTGCTAGTTCTACTAGTCCCACTAGTAGCATGACTACCCCTGGCACCACTGGTACCTCTAGTACCGCTAGCACTACCAGTACTGCTAGCACTACCTCTGCCACAACCACTGCCAGTGCGACTGTGACTGCAACTGCAGTACCGCCACTGCTACTGCTGATGCGACTGCGACTGCGACTGCGACTGCTACTGCTACTGCCACAGCCACGGCCACGGCCACTGCCACTGCCACGGCCGCGGCCACTGCTTCCGCAACTGAGACTGCTATGACTCTTGAACGTCCCGTTTTGCAGTAGTTGCCACCGTTACTCTTCGTGCTTGTTCAGACTTTCGCCCGCACTTCGGCGAGACTCTGAAGAAGACCTCTGCGCTTTGAGAAGTCTCCCCTTTTTCGAACGTTCTCAGCAGTAAACATGGTCACAAGGCGGCACCAACATTAATATCAGAATCACCATCATCACACTATGTCCGCGGTCAACCAGAGTGAAACAAACTGGAATTCATATGCAACGTGCTGTAATGTCCTACCCCTCTCCCTGCTTCACCAAGTGTCAACTGGGATTGCTCCAACATGATCCAATCCAACATAATCCAACGCTACCACAGGTGCACGGAGCAGAACAACAGGCCAGTGTGATTCCGGCACAAGCAAGCCGCGCGAGTGACAAAGACTGCCATGCAATGCCCAGCTCACCTGAAGCCACGGGCAGGGCCCCTGTCTCCGTGGGCAGTGCCGTGCTCATGGCCTTGCAAGTGGAGATGTGCAGCTTTCAACGAAGGCAGCATGATGCAGCTTGGAGGAACCTGCAACAAAATCCTCGGCGCTGCCAGTGTCGTGAATGTCACTCATGACACAGAGCCTTCACGGCCACATCAAAGTTGCTGCTTCTGTGCTTGCCAGCCTCATTGCATCAAACGTCGGACGAACGTGACACTACAAGCCAGCCTTGCACAGTCATGTCAAAGTTGGGAAGTGCTTAGTCAATGGCAAAAACCACTGAGCAAGCTCCCCTTCCGACAGGAGACTCGAAATCAACCTGCACAAAAATCACAAAGCTCTGGCACGGATCTAGACAAAGCTGGCAGGAACTGCAACTCTGCCAGAGCAGCATCTTGTCGGCAGAGCTGGCAACACTGTCGTTTTACATTGTATGTCAGACTTCCACGGGGATTGGAAAACCAGTGTTTCCTTCTCTGCAAATTTTGAGATTCGTTTTCCTCTGGCAATATTATCTAAAGAAGACAGTGCTTTGAAGTACCAATACAGGGTCCGAGGCAGAGGTGCAGAAGTGGCATTGATCACTTGCCCGAGATGCCGAGCAAGATAATTGAAGACCAAATCACGGGTTACATGGGCAACCAAATCACGCGGCATGAGCAGTCGCAGCACTGTGTCTGTGCTGGCCTAGCTTGACGAATTTTTTTGCTCGACACACCGTAGCCATCATGGCTTCTCGGCTCCGTCGCAGCAGGAGCTTCAAGCAGAAACTGAAAAGGAACCTACTGAAACAATATAACATTGAAATGAACTGCTTAATAATTCAGATGCCTCAAACTCCGAAAGGAATCGTGGCCGAGGTTGATTCAGGGCCGCGAAGCGCTGACGTCCTGCAGCAAATCTGGACGAAGTTCCCAGAATGCAGCAACGCGATGCAACACTTGTCACATGCAGGACATATGCTGCCGGACCCTACACATGTTCGGCTTTGTTGTAACGTTCAATTTCAACTCGCTCTCGGGAGGTTGCAGCCACAGCGACCGCGATCTGCACTTTCAGAATTCGGGAAGTGCATCTAACAGTATGGATCAAGCCTGTTTCGATGCGAAAGCCCGTGCAGACTCACATGGCACCCCTTCGAATTTGTTTGCTGCCAACTACTTCGCACGAGTCGGTGTTCAGGACGACCGCAAAGCATCGGTGCTAGGCCTGAGGCGTGACACTAGGTGCCATCACGACAGAAGGCTTCAAATTCGGAACTTTTTCTGCTCCATCCACACAACTACACAGACAGATCGTCTCCGCGGGCTCCTGAGCTTGCCAGGAAGCCTGCACCAAGATCAGAGACGAGATTTAAAAAAAGCTGCAAAAAGGCTCACACCTACCTCCCAAGCCGCGCGAGGCCCACACGGAAGCGCAGGCGGCCACACCTGGCTCCCGTTTTATACGCTTCAGAGCACCCGTGGTAGACCACACAAATGTTCTGTGCATCCAAGTTGCCGGTACTTTGTGGACAGACGGCCATCTTTGAAGCGTTGTAGCTGGAGGGCTTCTCTCTGTATCTTGATGCTTATTGCTTGACGCGGTCTGAAGATTGGCTACATGCTGACTCCTAGTTTTTGCTTGTCCTCTCGCCGCTTCATCTGTGTTAAAATCCTTCTCTGATTTCCGATGTCTTGCACTCAGGCCAGGGGCCGAGTGAATCTTCTGAGTCTTGAATGGCTGCGATGTTCACGTGAAGCGAATCCCAGCAAGAACAAACTCTCAGCTACTTGAGACCACTCGGGCCCCAAGCCGATCCAACCAGATGCCAAAGCCCCACTGCAGTAGCGCTCTGCATTGGGCCTCTCAATTCGGCAGCTCTGCGACTGATGCCCTGGGCATCAGCAAAAAAGAGGCTCCGAGGCTCCAACCCAATGAGTGGCTCGTTCATTCGCAGCTTCTTCCGGGCGCCAATGGCAGCCCCAGGGATGATGGCCTCAGCACCACTGTTCAAAGCCCCGCAGACTATTCCCTCAAGGTGGCCTTGTGCTTCTTCTCGGAGGTTTTCAGCGGCATGTGAATGTCGGAATCCCCCATCTTGACAATGCTGCCACCGACGTTGGAGTACCAATGCCTCAGCATGCAGACCCTGGCCGCCCTGGCCCCGGCTCGTCAATGTAGGGCACTCAGGGAGCGGCGTATCTGCTGCATAACTTCGATTCGTGAAGTTTCCGTCTCGAGTGCCCTCTTCCAGGACCTGGCAGCAACAAACAGGGGTTCAAAAAGCCAAGCGAGTCTCCTTGCACAGCTTGGAGCCAAGGTCAAAGTGTTGTGGACTGTTCTGACAGAACGGCTCGGAACATGTTGTACACACATCGGCACCTTCATGCGGAAGTCGTTGAATTGCCTCAGAACTGTTGGCTCATTCTGTGTGCTGCAACCGACTGACGGCACCGACAGGTTGAAGATCCAATGGTAAGGGGTCAATAATCGACGTGATGTGCCGAGCAGCTCCATGTTCTCGATGAAGTAGGTCTCCTTCTTCGCAGGCACTTCAACCACCTCAAGGAAGGCAATGAATCCCGCGATTAGGACTTCAAGAACGTTGTTTAGAGCTGTTGACCATAGTGGCTGACAAGCAAGCTGATAAACACACGCAAATCCCGGGGCGGCGACAGCAGGATCATGCGGAGGGAAAAGGTATGCTCGGATGAAACGATCCACGGAATCCTTGCACCGACAGGACCCTGAGCCAAGGCTTGTCAATGCTTCACAGATCTGCCTCGTCCCAACTCAAGTCGATCTGAAGTGGCGCCTCCGCAGAGGAAGCTGCAGCATGGGTGAGCTAATTATCTACAGAACGACCGGGGTTCGAGAAGCAAACCATGCAAATGGCAGGAATCATGACCACGACCAACATCGTGTCTGCAAAATTATTTCTGCCATGGGGGTTCGCTTCCTGACGTTGCTGCGAACTACTTCAACGCTTCCGACTTTGTTTGATGCTCCACCAATGGTCCAAATGAGCGCTGTCCTAACAAGCCGCTGGCCCGTGCCTGCTTGCTTGCGGAGGATACAAGCTCAAGCTTTGGCATGGCACCTCGAACGAGGGCAAGAACTTGCCGGCACCCATTAGCTCCTTCAAATACTTACGGCCTTCACCATCCTCCAGAAGAACTTTGAGAAGCCTGGCTCCAGCCAACGCGTGCTTGGCACCTCAGCTCCAGTACGAGATGGGGTGAAAACTGGGTGCACAATGGTGCCCATGTAAGGCTGCTTGCACTAGCTGAGGTTACAACGCAGCGACAAAGCTGTCTCGTCCTTGCCAACGGCCACAAGCTCTGCACCCACCTGCATTGCAGATGTAACCACATTCACGAATTCATGTGCACTGCTGTAGTGCTGTAGACATGTAACAACGCCTCTTCCCCAGAGGCTTTGCAAATGGCGACGCGGCTATTCGCCTGCAACATGTGCACAACGCTACATTCGAAACCGCCTGGGCCCGACACCGAAGCAGCGCCTGCTGCAGCCAGATGGGTGCAAACTCCTAAAGCCACCAGAGGAGAAAAAACAACAAACACCAAGGCCAAGAACGCCACACTCGCTGCCACTGGCACCCTTAGGTCCTTGCTGGGATTTGCGGGGTCACCCACCGAGCTTAGGTCCGAACCGGCCAAGGTGCTCCTTTCATCGGAGAACCCACCTCGCATCGGCCGAAGGTTTCGGTTTTTGCCAGTGGAACTGCGGCCAAAAAATCAGCGCAGCGCCTTCATCACATACTGGCGACCGCCGCCAGCACAGAAGGACTCCGGATTTTGGCCACTGAGATCTGGCACCAGAACCTGAAGACCCCGCTCCATCCTAAAATCTGCCATGTGCAACGGAGCTCATTCGGAGAGGCGAAGGCTGAGAACCGCACGGTGACATCCGGCTTGAAGCGCTCCAAGGCACCCGCGACAACTTCCGGCTCCAGCGCGCTGGCAAAGCCGAAGCCCAGCTCCACGCAGCGCCTTCGAGCAGAACCGATCACGTCTTCCGGCCGTGAAACACCTGCCTTGCGAAGATGGATGTGCTTGCACCGTTGCCCACACCTCGGCCAACAGCAAGCACCACGCCATCACACCGAAGGCCGCTTCTGCATGGAATCCCTTCGGTGTACTACCCATAAACATCCTGAAACTATACCACCTGTCTGTACCTGTCGGACCTCCGCGGCCCCGAGCCACCCTGATTCCTTGAATTGCTGGGCTCGGGATCCAGGCCGAGGACACGGTGGCCGCTGCTCAATGGCCTCAACTGAAGCCGACAGCTTCTGCGGGGATTCCGTGATCATCAAAACGGGCTCAAAGGAAATTGATCCCGATGACGATGTGTGTCTTGTGGAACCGATCCAACAGTGAAAGAGAAGGGTCGACAATCTTCCCATGTGCCTGTGCTCAGTGCTCTTCACCTTTGATCTCTCTGTCCTTCCGCCTCAGAAACCTGGGACCTGGAGTACTTCGGCCAATCAGGTGTACTGACAGGCATGTATATTTATTTGTAAGTATACATTGATATGTGTATACACTCCTTGTACACAGATAAATACACCGTACCTCTGTATTTACATACCATGCAGTCGCAAGAGGTCACTTTGCAAGCTACATGTCATACAGATAGATGTATAATTTGATGAAGAACTGCATCCCATCCCATACAGTATGGTACAATAGCAAGCTGAAATTGTTGTCTATCTAATTAAAGTTCGACATGTTCTGGCGCACTGGACAATGCTGTAACATACTGCATGGTGCTGCATTCAATTGACTTGTTCACGGCTGCACTTATCATTCATGCATCTATGTAAAATGTTGCATAGGCCGTGTTATGAAAAACTACACTTGCACTTTTGCACTTTGCGAGCTGCAGAGATCTGTCTCGGCTGCAATCGATGGGAGACAAGCGTTACCGCCCGGCTTGGCTGTGCATTGTGCACATCTCCCCCCCCTAGCGAAAAACGAGAGCAACTCGGCCCTCGGTACGAGTACCCTTGAAGCAGGGCAGGTCAACCGACTCTCTGATATAGAAAAAGGTAAGTGTCACAGCTGAACTCACAGATGTCATCACACCGAGCAGCAACACCACCATCATCCGTAATCCAACAATGATCATTGCTATCAAACAAGAGAGCGCGGTAATGACCCTGAGTTGGGGCTTCGCCCAAGTGAACTACCACCGATCTGAGCTTAAAGGATCGAGCTCGACACGTCGTTCCGGTAGTGAACTCCGGGAAGTAAACCACCATAGAGGGGTGAACCTTATATCTACGCTTCTGCGCTCGACCCTCGTCAAAGTGAAATCGGCCTACCTGTAAAATCATGGCAGGAGCAAGCAGAGCAGCAGCATGCACAGGTTGTTGCTTATGCCAAGCGTCCACGAGATCTTGAACAGAGTAGGAGCTGCTGGTATCACTGGCTAGGTCACCCGGAGGCAGAAGGCTGAGGGGCACTGACAAACCTTCATCAACAACACAGAGCTGCGCATGCTGCCAGACCCTGGCCTGCCAAAGCACCGTGAGCCCCTGCTGATCTACCTGCGAGCGGTCCATCAGAAATTGAAGGAACTCCGCAGCATCATGCTGCAGTTCCGGATCAACCCAACGTTGCATCATGGAGAGCCACTCCGTGTTGCGCCAGACATGAAGCACAGGAGAAGAAGGCTTGAAAAGAGCCCTGAACTGGTCTCTAAAGATCTTCAAGGAATCGGTATGGCTCTCCAGATGCAACAGCCCCAAGAGGACAGCATTGGAGTAGCAGTAGTTTCTGCTATTGCCCAATCTCATCCTGATCGCTGCGTCAACGTCGACAATCTCTTGGCCAGCGCACTCATGCGAAGCCTCTCGTGCCGGAGGTAGCACCCTCCCGAGGCCCAAACTGCTGAGCCCGCTAGCTTGTGCAGACAATGCCAAGTATCCTGGGCAGCTTGGGTCCGGAGACCCACCTCGAGAAACATCCCCAACACCACGGCCTGGTACTCCTCCGCGAGGGGGCGGGTGGCATGGAAGCGCTGTATCACCAGGGGTGCTGTCGCTGCAATCATGAGCTTGTCCAGGGCCTCCTCGATCTCGCGGGGCGTGAAGGTCTCCGCTTGCTCGTCCTTGACATGCTGTTGGGCCGTCGGGTCCCATCGGATGCCATAGACTTGGTCGCCCGCCTCCGAAATCCAGCCCAGCCCTGCAGCCGTCGATCGGGAAGACGGAGAGGCCAACATCGCCCGGAAGCGGTCCTTGATGACCTCGAGGAGGTGTTGGTACAACACCACCCTCATCGGTGAGCTCAGCGCCGTCGGATCCTCCCGCTTCTTCTTGTGCCAGGCTTGCCCGATATGGTAGAGGCTCTGGCCCAGATTTTGCGGCGTCCGCGTTTGGACGAAGATCATGAAACCAGTATCTTGTCTGGTTATGCTCTGCTGCGCTTCCTGCCTTAAAACCAAGGTGGAGAGGAGGTTGACGACATTCCGCATCTCCTGTACCTCGTCCTTGTCCTGCTCCCTTGTGCCCGCCCTCTGAGCCTGCGTCTTCCGAGCCCTCCACGGTGGCTTGTCCTCCGGTGACGTCGGTGCCGACCAGGTGCTTGGGGTGGGCCATGAAGAGCCGGATCGAGGGGGTGTTGCTGGAGTCGGCCTTGGATTTCGACCTTTGCCTTGTTGCTGTCGTCCTTTTGGCCCCTGCTTTGGCCACTTTGGTGGGTGGCTTCGGCTGAGGTCCGGGTCGTGATCCGTCGCATCCTGGCCCAGGTCCTGAGTCCAATCCAGGTCCATCCTCCCTCCCAGCGGGTCGCGTTGGTCCCCTGTCGCGGAGCGTAGGAGGTGCAGTTCCTGCGTGGCCATCATCAGCTCCGTGGGAGGGGGCATCTCCATTCTCTCGAACATGACTGACCCGGGAGTCAGGCAGGCTGCCCGTGAGTATCAAAGCCTTGCCCCTAGCCAACCTGCGATGTAGGTAGACCCCGTTGAAGATGCCTATGCAAGCTCGGAGATGAGCGTCTTTACGTTTATAGCTCTGACCACAATATTGGCAAGGATTGGCCAACCCCAATTTGCTGTCCTTGATTTCTTGGATGCACCGTTGAATGAGAGCGTTGCAGTCGGGGTGTTTCTGGGACATGTGCCGTCTGACATACTGTGGTTTTGCACTCCAATGATGACACTCAACACAATGGTGATGTTTCGCCCGAACGCATGGCAGCAAAGCCAGGTCTTGCCACCCGCAATTCTTGGCGCACTCAAGGACCTCTTGCGAGTGTATCAGGGCATCCGTTAAGAGAGGCAGGACCACTTGGGTAGTAGCAGGTTTCTCGTAGAGTGCCCTGAGAAACTCGCAGCTCCTGGAATTCACGTGATAATTGAAGGCATGCCAAGTACTGAATTCGTGAAGACAGTGCTTGCATGTGGGCATGCCATCTTTGGCATGGGCCATCTCCGCATTCTGTATAGCTACCTTGACTTCTTTATCCCGGAGCTGCTGTTGTTCCTCATCAAGGTGATTGCAGTACATGTGCCGGCGGAGAGACGCTTGGGTGGAGAATTCCTGCCCGCAAACTTCACAGCTAAAGATCTCGTGCAGAACTCGGTCAACAGGTTGAATCCTGACTGTGTTCGGGGAGGGGGCGGTGGCAGTCAGGTCTCCCCAACCGTCTGCGTAGGCATAGAGCTGCCCTCTCACAACTGTGCGCCATTGTTGCTGGGCTTCACCTGGGCTTAGTGCTGAGTGAAGAAACTGGTCTGCATCAGCACGTAGCTCAAGTGCCCGGCGTAAACGACGGATGGGATCCGGAAGTCGAAGCCGAGCAGCGAAGGCAACGTTGGTCTCCCTGGTGAGCATGCTGTGTGAGTTGGCAATGGCACGGGCTTGCTTGAGAAGTTGAGTTTGTAGGGTCTGCATCTCTTTCAGGGGGAGGCCTGTGCAATCCAGGCCGTGCAGCAGCGCCGGCCAAATGCAGCCTAGCCAGAGTTGCGTACGGAGACGTGCCGGTACCACACGGTTGCGAAGGATCTTGCCGAGCCTTGAGTAGGTGTTGCGGGCCAGGGTGAGCCTGTGCCGGAATGTCTCCTGCTCAAACTTCCGGAAGCAAATCACTGCACCCAGGTAAACGTGCTTAGAGACGATTTTGATGTGCAGCACCTCGTCCTGCATGGGGAAGCGGAAGTAGCGGTCTCCCTGTCGGGTCACAGTATATCGTTCCAGGGCTCGTTGAGCCTGCGGGCCTTGCAGCTCCAACACCACGACCGTCTTGTCCTGACTGATGGTCAGGCCGTGCCTAAGTAGGTGAGCCAGGAGATGCTTCATGGCTGCATAGGCTCGTTCCAGGTCCCTGCCGCTACTGATTGTCCAAGCATAGTGCATGTCATCCGCGTAACTCGTGTTGGTTTCGGTAATGTCGAGTATCTCAGGGTCATGCATGCCTTGTAGCAGCCATCCACAATACACCGCCCAAAGCAGCGGCGAGAGGCCGCAGCCTTGCCGGAGGCCACGCTTGAGGCCAACGACTCGCTCAAGGCCACAATGTGTGATATGTAGGCCAGCTGTGTGGTGTATGAGCAAGATGGCCTCGATGAGCGGCTCTGGGGCCTTTGCCGCCCTCAATGCCTGCTGTAGGGAAGCCCATGGCACGTGATCGTAGGCACACGAAGCATCCAGCGACAGATGACAGCCCCCGTAAATGCCGAGCCCGGAACGTCCCTGGCGCTTGCCATGGATGTTGTTGGTGTTAGCGGCGACCCGCTTGCGCACACTGGCACAGTGTCCGATGACACGTTCGAGAGCCTGCGCCAGAGAACGGCCTTCCACATAAGCGTACTGTGGGACTTGCATCAGAAATTGGTTGGCTGGGCCTTGAAGTCGAGCTGCGAGAACCGCTGCGAGGACTTTGGCTGGTAGGGGCAGTAAGGAGATCGGTCTCAGGTGCGCCGGGGACTTCATAGGTTTTCCCGGCTTGGGCAATAGGACAAGCTCGCTTAAGCACCACGCCCGCGGCAGGGTGGTAGCACCAGGCTGCAGGTAGTGCTGGAACTGAAGCTGTAAGACCGGGACCATCAGCTCTCTGTAATGTTTCCAAAGAGCAACCGGGGCACAGGAGCCTGGAAGAGCTTTGCCGGGTTTGAGGCGGTTGAAGGCTTTCTCCACCTCATGCTCCGTGATGCCAGTGGCCTCCGAGAGCACAGGTCGACTCGAGGCGGGTCCATCATACAAGGCCTCAAAATGGCGAACTATCTGCTGGAATTCGGCCTCGTGGGTCTGAAGGTGGCCCTCGG